CCACAATCTTTTCGTATCAAATATTTAGAATAAAAACTAGAACGCTTCGTTTGTGGCCCAAGCGCGAGGCATCATGCCTGATGCATACGTTACTTCATTTTTGTTTTTTCCCCTTTTTTTCTCTTTTGTTTCTTTTGTTTCTTTCTTTTTGTCCTTTTTCTCATTTCAATGGAAGTAGCACGTCCATGGACATTGTCTTGGTATTTCTTATATGTGACGGCATGCAACATTTGAAGGGGTTGTTTTAACCTTCTCTTCAAATATTACTTTGAAGGTTATCCTAAGAGTAGCATCTAACAATTGTTGACCTAACAACCCAATGATTCATCAATAATGAATCATCATTGGAAAACCAAACAAAGTTATTTGTTGCATTTTTGAAGCAACCATCATATTATTTATGTCTACCCAACGATGAAGAGCATCATGAATAAGCATTAGAAGATATGATTACTTACTACAACACTTGATGAAATGAATACTATCCCTTGTTGCGATAGTGAAGCTATTCCATTTAGGGACAGTGAAAAATATTTTTCTTGGCAATGTTTTTTCTTTTTGCGGCCGCGGTCTTAGCTAAAAGCATGGTAGAAGAGGCGACTGGTGGTAGTTCTGGGGCTCAAAACTTCTCAGAGAGGGGTACACTGTACGCGGTACAGTTCATTGTTAGTGAGAGCAGCAGGGACACACAAAAGTAGAGCCATCAGATATTTGAGATTGTGCGGAAGATAACCGAGTGTGTTCGTTGCTTGACACAACAATTTCGGCAATGAGCATGGGTAGACGGTGCGCAACCATTGATGGGACATAGTTTGTTAAACCAATGGGCCATACCATTTTATCAGGGCATCGCAACGCACCCCATTTGTGACTTGGTTAAACTACGCTTTGCAATGTTGCAATATGGATAGACAGCCACATGGTTGTCGCAAACAAAATAACACTGAAGCACAAAAGAGCGCTTTCAGTGTCGCCAAGATGGGATGGTTGGCACCCCCGAGGACAAGGGCCGTTCAGCATGAAACGAGTCGCTTTGTCTTTTCCGTGAAGACCCCTTCTTGTTTCGACACCCCAAACTCTCAACCACTAACCCACTGACCCACATTGGCCTTGTCAGAGGAAGACGAAGTGATCCTCACGGAAAAGATGTGCACCCATCACCATGACCGGCTGTGGCACAGTCCCACAGCAGGGGAATCGACAGCAGGCGGCTGGCACTGTGCATCCGACTGGCGCGGCGTGTTAGCAGAACTCACCGGGGGTGTGTCCAGCCTGGGTGGCGCGGCCATGCTGCCGCAGACCCAGCCTCCGGCGCCCCAGGTGGGCCCCGCTCTTGCAAAATCTCCCGAAGTTTTGTCGTTGGCCAACCACGGTCACCCTTTTCTGAAAGGCCTTTGCGGACTCTCCGCAGGGCCATTGCTGGAGTGTGCCATGCTGTGGGCGTCCCTTGGTGCTCTTTTTGCGCTGGACCGTCTGATGACGGCCTGGTTCGCGGCGATGCGGTGGACGTTTCCTGCGGCCCTGGCGGGCATGTTCATCCTCCTTGGGGCCCTCTCCGTTTTGGAAGGTGCGTCGATCGGCGCGAAACATTGGTGAGTCGTGTCGTGGCGGCGCTGGTGGCATTTCACCCGCATCGGCAAACATCCAACGAGGGGATCGAAAGTAGAACGGCGGGAATTGGCTGCTGGGGATCTGTTGGGGTGTACCTGCGCCAACAGGGAGCTGCACATTCGTGGGAAGGTGTTGTCGAATTCTGAAGCATGCAGGTTCGTTAAGGAACTGAACACCAAGGGCCGAATGCGCTTCGCCCTGTGCTTTGCAATGAAATACATGCTTGTAGCTCAAAACTGCAGCTCCCAGTAGGCCCCGCTCCTCACCTGACACCCTGGAAGTTGCTGTAGAAGCAACAAAACACTGCCACTCGTCGCCTTGGTTGTAATTTGTGACTTACAATCTTTGGCACAGCACTATCAATCATTCCTTTTTGAGATTTGAGAGGACGAAGGGCTGTCATGGAGATAGCTTTGTGGGATTGGTGGGGATAATGTCATTGAACCAGCGGTCTTGGATGCGATCAAAAGATCTGCCAATGCTATCCCATAACAAGCGACAGTGACGAAGCTCTGTTTCCTGCATCGCCAATTGTGGGAAACCATAGCTGTGACGACTGTTGCTGCCAGCTTGGGATTGGCGCTTAAGGATGGCCACTGGTAAACTTCATGGATTGCACTAGTACAAAACGTGGCACAGTGCTGCCTAGCTACCTATTGGAGATGTCAGGTACTGCCGAAATCCACAAAGGTGTGTTCCCAACAGTAGCCATATCCAGCCCAACGTCTGCCGTTGCAAAACACCAATACACTCAACCCTTGCGCAAGCCCACAGGATTGAAACATCGAACTAGCACCATCAGATACCACAACTCTGCATGATTGGCGAATGAAGTGGGCTAAGACAAAATGGCTGTTTGTGCATGATATGCTGTTGAGTTCTCTGTGCGCCAGCCTCCAGGCACTCACCCGGCAGCATCGCGATCCCTGGAGGCCTTTTTTTCACCGGCTCTGTCCTGGATCCGGCGATGGCTGCCACTGTTCTATCTGCCTCCCTTAGTTGTGCTGCCCGTCTCGCTGCAGGGCATCGGCACCAGCGACTTGCTGTCCATGCTCGCAATCGTGGCACTGGGCTTTGTTGCCAACCTGTGGCTCACAGCACGGCTGACAGTCTGGGCCTGTGGCACAGCCCCTGCAGAGGAAGACACACAGGTTCGCGGACTGGCAATCCATGATTGAGGAGGATGTGGATGGAGTGACAAGTAGTTAGGTCTGCAAAGCACAGACATTGAAATTTGCCAAACTTGAGAATGACCCACTGCAAGAACTGTGGATTGGGAACTTGTGGGATCGTAGGGGACCAGTGTTTGTGTTTCCATTGAACTTGCAAACTGTTGCATCTGAGCAACACATGCTTATGAGTTGAACACAGCAAGGGAGGAAGTACATGTTTCCTGCCTCTGTACCTGATCTTCATGATGACTTGTCGCGTTTTGGCAATGTGCCAGGATGGCAAGATGCAATTAAATCAAGTTGCTTTCGGACGTGTCCACTGGGCTTTCTGGGGCACCGTACTCTCCCTCTGTCTCCTTCTGGCTGTGACAGATCAGTTGAATGGGAGGCAGTTGGAGCCACTGTTTCATCTCTCAGCCACAGTGTGTGGGTACCTTGTGGGTGACATGCTGCCACAGAGACTTGGCCGGATCCTCCACCCAGTGGTCGTCTGTGCTGCTTTGACAAGCCTGAGCGCTGGGGCGTTTGGGGTGCTGATAGGGAAGGGCTGGGCTGGGGGAGTGAATGCATACTTGACACAGGTAAGTGACACTATTAGGTTTATCAGTGCAGGGAATGGCTGTATGAATGAGTTCTGCCATCCAAGAGAACGTTGTCACTGCCCATAGCTGCCAAGTTCAAGTCATGGACTTTTTGACAGGCATTCAATGAGTGCATGAACATCCTCACAGGCAACGTGAAAATTCGACACAGTGGTCATGTCACATGTCTCTGCTGAACGGCAGTCATTCATTGAAGGTGGGAGCCTGTGCTGGAGTCATTTTATAACCTTGGAGAATGGACTGACTTCCAATCCTGTTGAATGAGTTGAATGGATGCAAACCCTCCAATTCCAAAGTTGGATTTGCCTGAAGGCACATGGCTTTCTATTCTTGCATTGCAGGAGGTTAATTCCAGAGGTGCCGGCGACTGGCTAATGAGTTTTCTTGGGCCTGTGGTCCTGTCTTTTGGCTTCAGTGTATTCTCCAGACGCTTGGTTATGCTCCGTCACAGACGGGTGATCGCCATGGCCATCGTGACCTGTAGCCTCTTCTCAATGATCTCCACCGCCTTGGCAGGCCGCCTCCTTGCCCTGCATCCCAAGTTCGTCCTGGCCATCGTGCCCAGATCGGTGACCGTCGCATTGGCCCTTCCGATAGCCCAAAGCCTGGGTGTATCCAGTCTGCCCATCACTGCAGGAGCTGTCGTGCTCACAGGTACAAGACCGTTGGGGATCAGCTTGGCAAGAGAAATTGTACCGTGGATGAAATGCATGAACTGTGTGCAGCATGTACCTGAAATATACAGTGTTTTGCATATTTCCTGGGCATTGTTGGTACAGAGTACTTGTCCTTTTGTGCATGATTGTCTTGATTTTTTGATACTTCGATCTTCATGCAGCAGGGTATTCGACAGTCTCTCCTGCAATAAAAGGTGAAGCAGTCTGCAGAACTTCCACTACGTCTGCAGTCTGAGCTCAGAACGACAGCACTGTTGTACCCGGTGGCTGGCTGCAGTGAACCGTTTTCTCTGTGTATTATTCAGGGCTGATGGGCGCAAACTTCTCAGCCATGCTCTTGACCTGGATGGGCATCACGAGCCCAATTGCAAGGGGGTTGTCTGCAGCCAGCAGCGCACATGGCCTTGCAACAGCGGCGCTGACTGCCAGCGAATCAGAGACACTGCCTTACTGCAGTCTTGCATATGCTCTGTCAGCCATAACGTCGACACTACTTGCAAACGTGCCCATCATTCGGCACCTATTGGTGTCCATTGCTGGCTAGCTGATTATGATGCAACAACGTGATTGCAGAGGTGCTGTTTGACAGGAAGAAACTTTCGTTTAGGAATTGGGCGTATAGGGAGGTTGGGGGAGGGAAAGGGGGGGGGGGTGAAGCGCAAGCTTAAGCAAGGACCGAAAATGTATGCTGGATGCACATGAAATTTCTGCCATTTGATTTGAACTCTATGGTTTGCCATTCCACAACTTGCCAGTGCCACCATGGCGTTCGCAACGAAGCGCCACCTCCCTAATCACTAATTGCATGTGCCTGTTTCAGCGATCGTGCATTTTGTGAGTCTGTCCCGTTGGCCTCCCAGCCTGGCTGCTGCCCACACACGCCCCCTGCAATGGATGTGTCACCTGGATGAGCTGCAGGCACATAAAAATTCAGCAATCTGGGTGTCAGAAACTGGGACATCTCTTTTCTCCAGTCTTTGGCACTTCCCCAAGGAGAAGCGTCATATACTCCTCTGGCTGTGGGAAGGTGTCAAGTGCCATATCGCCATGCTCAAACGCCAAGTATGGCATGGTTTGGGGTCCTATCAGCAGCACTACGCACGATATGGAGAAGAAGTTTGTGACATTCTTTGGTTCGACTGCGCGTCCCTTCACCTGGACAGGTGTCTGTCTGTCCAAGATACGTTCTACTCAAAATTTGATGCGATAGTGCCAGTCATATAGAACGTGTCACCACATCGACAAGCGATGGAGCTGGCACATGCGTGTCTCATGCCACATGAATCCGAATGGCTCATGTCAACCTCCATGCGGGAATGTCTCTCCATCCCACGTAAGGCAGCCTGGATGGCCGTCACAGGGCCAATGCAAGGCAACCGCTGTCCAACACCACTCAAAACCCTCATCACTTGGGCGTTGCTCTTTCCGGGACAATGGCCCATTGGGGTGAAGCACATCGGCCCCACAAGACAGTTTCTGCAGCTGGCCTCGGCTCCCTGTTGCCCCTTTTCACCCTCTTCACACTTTTGGGGACTGCTCGGCATGACTCATATTCAAAGTGTTTGCCGTTGTCTCCTTTTTTTATGCTTTTGCGCAATGGCCACTGTTGCCCCATGCCATCTCATGTAACTTAAAGCACAACTACTTCCCCGTTCGGTAGCAGTGTCCGGATTTGAATAGTCAACATGAAGGCGAACGTTCGATGCAACATCATATTCGGAAAGACCAGGCCTTGAGACCCTGCACCACCTCCATCCCAACTAAATTTGGTCATTGAGTCCATTCCATTGCCCTCCAAAGTGTGGCGCCCTTTGCCTGTGGCATTTCTGTCAGTGGTCGTCGTCACAGCTCAGCCCAAAGGGCAACGGTGCCTTGACACAGCGGGGCTGCTTGAAGAATTCTTTTGGTCCTCTCCGAAAGTCGGGAGCGCTGGAAAGGTTCAGCAGCGGCAGCGCTGGAAAGGTACACGACCCGGCAGCTGTTTAGCGATGCCGGGCGATGCTTTGGAGGCTTGATGATCGCCGCTGTTGTGTTGAGAAACGCTTACGCTGCATGGCGTGCACCGCTTTGCCGTAGGGTAGACGTTATCTGTCGCTGTGGGGGGCTCTGGAGTGCTTGCGATCATCATCCAGATATCAGATGGCTGGCGCACCAAATTGCGTCAGTGGCAACGTTTGCTTCCTTGGAGAATTTTCTCGCAATGCACGTGTGGATGCATGCAGGGACAACGGAAGAAACCGGTTCGGTTTTTCTGTGAAAATGGCACTGAAGCGCAGATCGATCTGTGCTGTATGAGACCAGGCATCTTGGTGCCAGCCGGGCTGGGACGGAAACTTGGGCTATAACAGTGATTGGAAGCGTTATTTGGCTTGATAGCATCCTGCACGGCTGGGCGCAACCTGTTGGTTGGTGACAAGCCATTGCGTGAATGCCACGCCATGTACAGCCCCTATCTTAGATGACCTGAGAAGGAATTCACGGGTGCGGAAATGGCACACACACACACACACACACACACAACACCTTTGCTGCAGTGAATTTGAAGTTTTCCATGTTTGTGGCGACAGACTCTGTGACATTGCTGATCATGTGCCGATTTGTGTGGATGTACCAATCACCTTTGCAAATTGCAATTCTATGTGTTGTTGAGTTGTGCACACCCATGAATACCCTCTTGCAGTGCATTTTCTCTGGGTTGCAGACGTGACGGTAGTTGCTTCCAACTTTTTACTTCAGAATCGCTGTTCATCACTTGCAGGGAATATGGCACCCAATGGCTCCACCTCAAATGCTCACCCATACCTATTGGAAGAGCCAGAGCAGTACTGTGATTTGCTGGATATTTTCCTTGTTGCGAAGCAAGAGCTGATACCCGTGAACAGCGGCGTGCTGGCGATGCACTCTGTCTTCTTCCGCAACATGTTGAAGGATCTCAAGGCAGATGAAGGATCCAAGACTCAAGGGAAGCTGTCCATACCACTCGATGAGTCAGTCTCCATCGAGGATGCAAGATTGATGCTTTCCTTCATTTGCTGTGCACGCAGGAAGATAGAAACGGTGGGTGGTGGAACTTGTTAACGAAGAAAAACACCACAAGCAAGTGCTATTTGTACTGCAAGTTTGTTGGATGTTGTGAAACTTTGCGATGCAGAAAGTAAGTTCTTGTGTGATTGCAGATGATCACCACGCGATGTACCCAAAATGTGATACTGCACTATTGCAACCATCCTTCAACAATCTATTTTCGCCGATCCATGCCAAAGCGTGCAGCCTGTTCATGATTTGGTGCTGTCGGCAGCATCATGTGGTCCATATTTCTCACAGCAGTTGTCTTTATGATGGTGGTGACCATCCCAATGCAATGGAAGGTTCTTGTAAATTGTTGGCTGGGATATGATCAGCCATCTTCCACAAGCATTCAAGCGTCCATTGTTGATGTGCACAGCATTGTTGTTGAACAACTGGCTTTGTATTTGTCATGAATGTGTACAAGCCTTGCTATGATCCCAAGCTCATATTCATGGAAAGCTTCAATCTTCAGGTACTCGGCGTGTGTGTCAAATAGATGTCACTGTTGTCAAACTTATGGAAATCTTTGAATTTGGAATTCCCTTGTGGGAGCTGCTGGAATTTAAGCAAGGGCTTTGCATCACACTCTGATTTCTTGAGGCTCTTCAGCCACACACAATGGGATCCATGCAAGAATGGCTAAGAGTGGACTTTGGTACTGTGCCTTGAGCTACGCATAATTCTGGATTGGAAGTTGTGATCCGGTTGGTGTCATGGAAATCACTAAGATTTTGGATTACAAGACAATGACCAATGTGTGCATTGAGAACAGATGGAGGAGGCGCACACACTCATTTCCCTGGCAGACAAGTATGACGTGCCATTTCTTGCCAAGGTCATTGACGAAGACATGTGCAACATGGTTAGCGAGCTACAATTCATACCACAAGACAACTCCTCAGGAGGTGTGGAGGAATGCAAGAGTGCTTCCTGGTGGTTGGCGACAGCTGAGCGCCTGGATTTGAGGAATGTGAAGATAGCGTGCGAATGCTTCATCATCCAGGACATGATTACATATGGTGGGGAGACTGAAAAAGTCAAGCAAGCAATGGCATCGCTACAAGAATGGGGAGTGACCACAGGGACTGTGTGCAACATGATGGCTGCAATGATGGATGTGAGTGGACCGGCTTGTGTCACCATTAGTGTTTTCTTCCCCCAGACACAAAAATATTATGATGTCAAATGCGACCCTGGCAAGTACAGGACTGCGACTGGTTGTCCTGTTCAATGCAAGCCAAAGGGCATGAAACGCAAGGCCACAGAAGAAATTGAGGCATCGGTAAAGAAGTTCCTGGAATAGGGAGCCTTGAATACTGTAGAGGGGTACAATATCTGTGTTTGAACAAAGGACAGTGTAGAAAGGTTCTACAAGCTGGTCACCTGTGAATACCTTACAATAGTTTTCTATTAAGGTTTCTTCGTTGGGTGGCTAATATGAGATTGGGTGCTATATGGTTTTGCTAACAACAAAGTTCGAACGGTGAGAGTCCATTGCCTTCTGGAGAATGCTATTTGGGGACACATGGCGCATGGGCTTGGCGTTTTTGACAAGCACACTACTCAGTTGCAACAGCATTGCAAAAAAACTGGATGTAATAAAAGGTTGAAAGATTGGCAACTATGACAAAGCACTTGGAGCTCTGTCTGATATTCTTTGTACAATTGTGTCATTTCTTTAACGATATGCTCATTCCCTCACTGAATGATTCAGGTGCGTAATGTGTATGATGGGAGAGCCACATCATGTATGCTTAACAGTGGTTATGATAGTAAATCCGCATTTACCCAGTATATTTACCACATATTACCCAATATATTTACCACATTCTCCCAGTGTTACTTATGCTGGACCTCCAAAATAAGTAATGGATACTAAAAGGGGATCATGGATACTCGGTTTAGACCCAACATCCAAGCAGTAGACAAAGAAAATTCTTGAAAATAACCCGGCGAAATGCCCCAAATGGGCTTGAAATAGTGCAAAATGCAGTGCATAGAAATGCATGTGGCTGACAGGCCAAGCTGCATACAGTTGCAGTGGCAGGATGCACTTTGTAATCATTGTTGTACCACTGGGTGCCGTGGGAGCCAGCGTGGCTGCCGCGGGGGTGTGCACCATGGCAAGAATTGAGACAGTCCTGGCATGTTTGCAGACAACTCCAGGCCTGCCATTGTGCAATGGGGACATGGCCCGCAGTTGCTTGACAAGAAAACAACCTCTTTTTAACCAATTAGACTAGCTGCGCAAGCTGTGAGGCGTGCAGCCATCACAAGCATCGCATTGGCCCTGACCTCACTCTCGAGGGTGAGCACTTTGCGGCAGTTGTTGCACGTTGAAAGCATGCGACAAGAGTGTCGAGCAAGCAAAGACATGCAAACTAGCTCCTCTCCTATAGACGAATCCAAAGAGCCCTCTTGAGCTCGTTTCCATTGAGGCTAGGGGTTGGATACTAATATCGGAGTATGGATACTAATGTGACTTGGACCGCCAGAGAGGGGTGTGGATACCAATAAGGGCGGATACTCCCACCAGGTAAGTCTGGTAAGATAAGCAGGGCAGTTGTTTATAGATTTATATTCAAGAAGCAGGATGAGGACTTGCCCACCGTGCATGTGTGCACTTCCAAACAAATTTTATTCGAAGGGCAGGGTACTGTTAGAAGCGCCAGACCACGCATGGAAACAGATTTTGTTGCGTGTATTGTGTTCCACTGTCATCAATAAATAGTTGTTCGCGAACAGCACGTGATTGTTTGCACGTAACAGAAAAGGGTGTGAAAGTGTGCGATGTGGAGAATATATTACAAACGAAAGCAGATCGTTTGCCATGTACAAAGATCATCGAGCATGGCTTATTGGACTGATGTACGGTGGTATTTTTCGACTTTCGAACGTGTTCCCACCGTTTGTGTATATCTGCTTTTCTCCCATGAACATTTGCCATGGAAGTGGGCAAGATAATTTATGCTGAAAGTGATAATTTATACTGAAACCAAAACTTCCTTGGTGACACTGCCATGGCCTGAGGAAAGTCTTTTAATGTCCTGTGATTTTCTGAAGATTGTGCCGTCAATGTCTCCAAACACATCCCAGTCAACCTTGGAATGCCTGTGAACGTATGTTTCTTCCTCATTCACGTAGACATTTGCATACGCACAACTCCGTTCATAGCCCACTGAGCTGTAATGTCGTTCTCACACATGAATGCGCAGAAAATGAGCGCAATTATGTGTGGCATTTAGGAAGGGGAAGAGCTCTTTTCCGTATATTACTTTCCTGCCCCGTGGCAGCAATCCAGCAGATCCAATCCAGCCGCCACGACCCGGCTGGTTTTCACCGTGCGGTTGCGAGAGATATGAATCATTTCTGCACTGGAAACCCAGGTGTGCTGCCAGAGTCTTGGCTACATGACATTGCAATTTTGATCCAAAGCAGAACAACCCTGTTCATTTCCAGCAGGTACCTCACTTCCCCACGCTGTTACCTTCGCGCCTTATCCTCGCATGTCCAAACGCGTACGCATATCCCGAGATTCCCAGACAAACCTGTTTTGGACAGCAGACATTGGCACACGCTTTCCAGGGAATCTGCACCGTGTTCCTCGCAGCCATTGCGGAATGTGTTAGTCACCCCATCCAATGCGTTGAATCGTGTCTACAAACATCGTGTTTTGAAGATTGACTGCGTTCGCCTCAACCAAGTCCGACGTTTGGTTGACATCAGCATGCACGCCTTTTCGGACGTTGGGAAGAAGATTTCCTACATATGGCTTTATGGCAAAAATGAGCATTTCAGCGTTCGTGCTGCGACCGCAATGCATGACCCAACAGAATGTATATTGAACACGTCCAGGGCCGGCCACATGTCACCCCACTAACCCCACAATCTCAAACTACAACTCCGTGGAACAGCACACTGTTCAGGGTGGCTCCCAACAGCCGGCAGACAACTGGGACCTTGGGAGGTGTGGCAGATGTGATGGTGGTGAAGACTGTGACCATGCGATGTGTCACACCTACGCAGAGCCCGAAGACAGTTGTGGACATGACAGACGCAGCGCGCCACATGACAATTGTCCTGTGCCTGCAAGTGCTGCGGATATGACAGCCATGACTAGCACGGCAAACATTGGTCAGCACTGCCAGCATTCCGCCTGTGTCAGAAACCGTCCTGAACACGCCGTTACGGCAGCCGTGACGTGTATAGCGCCAGAGGGACCCATCAAGAGCGCCGAGAAGTGACTGCAACTTCTTAAGAAAAACAGAGAGACCGACCACAGTGCAGGCCAGCGAGAAGGGTGGTGCAGCTGTTATGGATATGAAGACGCCACGGGAAGGTCCACCATGGTTGCATCCACCACCCCTGTGTCAGCATGTCAGTCGCTGCAAATGCCAAGCCACAGGAGGCCATCCATGCTACGGGACACTGTCAATATCATGCGGCGCCTGAATCGAACCACGCAGTGTGGGGAACAGCACCATACCCTCCTAAGCGCCAAAGCCGCGGCTGACAATTCCACGCAAACGAGCCAAAGGCTACGCAAACGCGCGAGGAACTGTCTTTAAGACCAACGACGGTGCTCACAAGCCTACGTCGTCAACAAGACGGGTATCGACACCATCCTTCTCTCGAAAATCTTGGGAACTTAAAAGGGAAGAGGGCTTAGCCATGACTATGCAGAAGGGAAGGAATCACTTGATGTGAAAGAAGCAAGTCTTGTGATGTGCAAACTACATATGAGCAGCGATTCTTATAGCTATATTCGAAAACACCAATGTGAGAGCTACTGCATTGGGAAAAAAACTTTGATACCAACGTGACGCATTGTGCAAAGAACGCATCAAATCCACAATTAAATACGTTAACATCAATTTTCAAGTTGCTGCATTGAGAGAAAATTCTGATTTACACGTCCTGCACTGGACAAAGGACATATTGTCTGGCAATCCAATCATGTGTCAGTGAGGCGATATCGAATATACTTAACGTTCTGCGTCATCTTGCATAATGCAGCTGAATTTTGGAACGCTGTATGGCCCACATTCTTTGCATGAGTGACATGGTGCTTTTTGGTGCGCTTGTGTGCCTGAAATCACGATCAATGTTCTTAAAGCCAGTGCCCTCCGTTGTCACAGCAGATCGCTGTTCCTTGCATATCGCCTTCAAGTGGTTCCCTAAACAAGGGATTTCCAATCTCGATACACGGTACGCATGTCTACGGCCTGATTGTTGAGCTGCTTGATGGCTTGGTGAATGAGAAAATCGAATATCAGGGTCGCGGCCACTCAAACTTGGCAGCATTATTTTCCTGTTCTTCCTTCCTTGTGGCAGTTGGATGTAAGGGAATGACCAATTTTGAGCGCCGAAAAGTTGGATGCAAAGCTGTGAACTGGCGCGCAGCAAGATCCATCACATGTGCGTGAAGTTGGCATGACTGGCTCTGTCGGAAATGTTCTGAATCAGAACATCATATGCGCTTAACGCATGGAATTCTAATCGCACCATCTTGCCTTGCGGACTTTCTTTTGGTTGAATTTGCCATGGGTCCAATGCTGACACAACGGTCGGTGTTGTGGGCATCATGACTCAATGTGCTACTTCGCTTTTGTATTAGTGCAGCGATACTGCAGGACCGTGTGGCTGAACGTTCAGGGCTGCCGCGTATCCAGATACATCCAATAAAACGTACGTGGCAACTGGGCTCCATCAACGTATTGTTTCACAGTATATTCCCAAACTGCTTTGTGAACCTCTCCTCATATAGACACCCCTGGATGCTGGTTTACTGTTTGTGTCGAATTTCCAATAACTTCACGCAATGCATTATCACCATCATTTTTTTACTGAACAAGGCAATGAGGTAGCCGTCAGCTTCCTATCTTGCTTGAGCAAAGCAGAGTTAGTGATAGGTTCACTGAAATTTAATGAGAAATGCAAACTACATCTATGATTTTATGAAATCCCATGCCTAGAAGCGATAATCTATGGTAATATATCAAACGAAGTGTCTTCGCGAGTTGGCGAGCTGGAACTGAAGGCAAATGTACTTTTGCGTTGCAACATCAAAAAATACAAGAGTGGCTTTGATGGATGTTGTCATAGGATTTTCACTAGAAGAGATAATGGATCTCTTCTTCAAGAGCCAAGTGGCATAAAGGACACAATCGCCTTGAAAATTGGGGAATAGATTTTCTCGCTTGATGTCGTTGTTTCTCGACTTCCAGAAAATGCACACCACCATGAAATCGCAGGAAGAATGTCCTCAAGTAAATAGGTTACAATGTTGATATGAATCGTTCA